CCCCCCCCCCCCCCCCCCCCCCTGCCGCGCGGCCCTCCGCATCCCACCAGCCCTCTCACCTTTACGACTGCGTCCGCTCCTTGGGGGAGCTTCGCGCCCGTCGTTATGTACGCGCACTGCCCGGATGATACTTGTATGGAGTCCGGGTCGACTCCGGCTGTGATACGTCCGACCACCTGCATTCAGGATCGAAATCGATTCCACCCGTTGGCACACATACATACATAGGACAGGGAGGATCGACAAAAGATGGGTGTTGAAACGTCAGGGGAAATGGAGGAGGCGCGCGGAGGGGCAGGTGTGCCCAACTGCTGCTGCAGTTGTGTGAAACGTTGGCCATGCATTTGACGGTCGGCCACGGAACACTGGTGCCGGAACGGGACGCGTCTTGTACCACGAGAGAGGCACCACCAACACCCAGGCGCTCATGGTGTTTTCCCGCAAAATTGTACATTCGAAAAAAACCCTGAAACTACTCGCGTTGTCTTCTTTTGGGCGTTTTCTGGCCACCGTTCATGTCCTATGCATACAAGTACTTCTATATCTTCCTTCTTCCTGCCTCGGCATGGCTTTTGCTTGGGCATGGCCCATAGCGAGGGGGGGGGGTCTTTCTAGCGAGCATGGCTAGACTGACCGATACCTTCTTGCTGCGGCTCACCCGCCGCGAGGCGTGCGTAGTGGTAGAGTTGGGTCGGCACTGGTGCGTCAGGTACAAAAATGCAGATACGCGGGCCTCATGGCCGTCGGTGTAGACAGCAATGTCCATCTCAGTTTTGTGCGCGGAGGCAGACGCCATCAGAAAGGTGGACGGGCACTATGTACACGGCCCTACGTTTGCTAGAGGGAGCTGTACTGTCTCAGTAACCTGGCTTCGCCATCAAAGGGGAGGAGGGAACAGGTGGTGACGAGCTGAGTGGGCTGGTTGACCCTTCGGCGCGAGAATTTTCAGACCAAGAACCCTAAGTGCAACGAGGGAGAAAGCGAGGAACCGACTGGGAAGGACAGCAGCGAGAGCGTGTACGGACGGAGCGGGTCGATTTTGGTCGTGCTAGGACTGGCCGTAGCGACACCGGAGCAGCGGCATCGAGCAGCGGCGCCGGAGCACACGGACGACATCGAACCGTGACGCACGGACGAACATTTTGTGTTGTCAAATATTTTTCGTTTTTTTTCCTGAACATTGGTGTGTATGTGACGACGTCACTGGTTTTGTAGAGAGACGCGGCAGAGATGGCGCGGATAGCCCGGGTGCCTTTATTGTGTACCTGCATCGTGGAAGACCCCTTCAATGTGGAACGATTCCTAATCAGTGTCGACTATTTACACTGCTGTGTCCAACACAGATGATCAGGGGTAGATTCGGTGATTGTCGATTGCAATGATGGCTTTGGTTGGATGTTCTTTTTTTTCACTGTATGTCCACGGACGCATTCTGACAGCACTTCGGACAGCAGTTGCGCGCCCCGAACTTGCACCATGCCTACCATGGTGTTTTTGTACAGGCAGCACTCCAGACAGCTGTACGCTGTAGTCGACATTCATTTCGGTAAAGTGTAGGACAGGGGGGGTGATGCTGCTGTAGTCGAATGTAGTGTGTGGACGGGTACTTCAGTTTTGGGCACGCAAACGTGCTGCAGAGATGTAGGTGTACCTCTTCGGGCTCGTGTACCCTTTTTCTTGCTAGTTTGCGTGTTCTTTGGATCTTCTGATGGCTCTAGCATTTTTGTGACCACGGACCGCATCTTTGCTAGATATTGGGATAGCAACTGACACGAGTTTAATGAAGACAAGAACAACAACAACAGCAGTAGCTCATTTTTTTTTCTAACGGGTTAACTTCCAGCAGTGCGAATGCTTCATTTTTCAGGACGTCACCTCCATTCACTTTCTTCATCATCTTCTCGAGGATGCGCCTTCTTGTTCGGTAAATTCACATCCTCCAACTATTGTTCGTGCGATGCCGCCGGGTTTACATACTGTTTATTCTAGTAGCCTTTCCATTTCTCGGCGTGGAGGGGGGGGGGGGGGCGTGGCAACGCGAATACACACACGCATACAGGCATGCGGCACACACAGCAGCACGGACCTCTAGCACTGCTTCGCCATCCGATGCCACAACGGCGTATCCATCCATGGTTGACGCTGGGAACGGGGGCAGCGGCTCCGGAGCAGTCACGTCCACTGCCAAAACGCTCCCTGGGCCAAAAGAACCGCAACAAGAGGCAAAGAGCAGCCGAGTCAACTTGGCCGAGTTACCTTTCTTAAGGACAAGCTGTTCGCTTGTTAGCTTGTTTGGGTGGGTGCATTGTATCCCTCAGGCGTCTTGGAATGTTTCAAGAAGCCCTCTGCTCTGTTCTACGGAAGGGAGGAGAAGTAACCATGGGTGCGATGCTGTGCACCCCCCCACCCCCAAAGAACCTGTTCGAATGCAAGATTGGCGTACACACGTGACGTCTACATCGGGCTTACAGGCTAGCTGCACGGCACGGACGAGAGGAACTAAATGGCAAACGATAACAGGAGCAGGTTATACACCAACAGGGTGTTTACTACAAACACGAAGCCGTAAGACTGAAGCCATGACGCGGTGATTGCGTATGTGCCAAGAGGCAGCCGGCGGCGGCGGGTACCGGACACAGCAGTTTCGACGTCATAAAAAGATTGAAAATCCGACCGCTCACGTCGGGAAATCATGATGAAAAGCATGGCGCACTGACTTTCGGCAGGCACCCGCTTACCAGCGCACACACTGCGACGAACACAACACAGCGGTTTGTGGCAAGCTACACTCTACACCACGCTTCGAAGGAAGGTGAAAGCTCGACGGCAGCAAGCCAGGGGTACAGGGTGAGATACAAGATGGGTGGTGTGCCCCAGGAAAGCGTTACTTGCTGCCTGCCTGCATTTTCTTGAGCACTCGTGCACCCAAGGGGGGGGAGGCCAGCCAAACTCAGCTCCGAGCGAACAGTAGCTCACAGAAGCTCGCGTCTGGACATTGCAGCAGCAACAAATACTAGTCGCCACGTATGCACGCGATAAGAGAGAACCGGCAGCAAGACTTGTAGTTGCACGCGGAGCTTACCCAGAGGAATGTCGGCCAGGCTGAGAGTTACCGCCTCGAGCGGAGTCGCTTGCTTCAGCACCTCTCCGATGGCTTCATCGACAGGGATCATCGGGAAAGGACTCTCCCGCTCCCGAAGCCGACCTTGCATGGCGGATGGAGTCATTCCAGTGTGTCGGGCGTGTGTTGGTGTGGACTCTGCGGGTGGCTTCGAGTGAGTAGGGACGTGCGGAGTTTAGGAGACCTCACCAACCCATTTGCTTGGAGAGAACCAGCATCCTTAATAACACCCAAACCCCGGGGTCGGGGGCCGGGCCCCCATTGCGGGAAAAATAGATGGATTCGTTGTGTCATAGATTAAGAAAAAAAAAAAAAAGTGGCGAAGGGGCCTGAAACAAACGTACGGTATGCAACAAAGCGAAGTAGAAATAAATGTACCTGGTAGACCTGTAGACCATGTATACCCACCGTCCGCGCCAGTTGGACCAGTACTGAGCATACACCGGAACGGACATTTTTTAAAGACAACAACATTCCAGTATATCACACGCGCAGGGCGGTGCGCGCTCGATATGTACTCCCCAAACCTAAAAACAATTAATTACTAACCTAAAAAACACCCCCATATATATCGTACCACAATGCATCACTGCAAATCACAGCGAAAAGATATAACACACAATAAGATCATCCCGCTTCGTGCACGGTCCGTTTATATGGCGGGCGTCTGTTTACAGCGCTGGGGCCAACAAACTCGTACCGAGTTCGTATCAATGTAGGGGTGTGTGAGTTTGTGACAGACTCTGCGGGTTCCGGCAGCACGTACTAGGTGTCTTGCGACGAGGACTACTCTGCCCGGCGGTTCTCCTACGGCACGAAAGAAAGTGATTGACTCGCAGACAGACGTGTTTTGTGTTTCACTGCATTCGGTTGGCCCGATGAGCCCGCATGAGTATATTTTGGCTATGTATGAATCTTTGGTTGATCCATCGGAGCAGGGACGTAAAAAGTGGGACACACGCGGGTGGCATGTAGACGATCTAGCGTGCTATATGCGACGCGTACGACATTTGGTCAAACTCGATGAGAAGCACAACAAACGGCGATCGAAAGGTCTTCGCCTGGTTCACGTTCTACTGTACCCCCGCGGGTGCGCAAAAAACAAAGTTCTTGAACACCAACCTAGGTAGCGCCTCACACCGTATGGTCTACAGACTATGGTTTGCGGTTACATGAGTATACCTTGTACACCTCCCCTCCCCCCAGGGGTGTGGGAGTCCACTACTTGGCAAGAAAGGATAAGGGAAGATTTCACACCAATTGCCCCCTCGCTATTGTACAAGTTCCCTAGGTAACACTCTGCACAAGCGACGATCACGAACACATCGTCCATTAGAACCTCTTTGCGCTCGGAGAGGTAAGCTGGGCGAGAAAAGAAATTTCAAACCGCAAGCAAGCCCGTGCAGGCGACGTCGTCAACGGTTTCGCAACAGGCGAGTGCCAAATCCTGTACACTCCGCCTCACAGCGTTAAACGCGAAGCAACAATGGCCTCCTCCTCCATTCGGGGGATGTACGCGAAGCCAGGAGATGTACAAGTCACACACCATAATCTTGATCAACGACTACTTGAGGATACGGACAACGGGACCCCCGCAGAGGGCCAACCCCATCAACACATCATATCTGCTCTATGAGTCAAGCTACTCTAAACCGGTCGGAATTGTACCGAACCGCAGGGCACTACGTTAGTAATATCTGCCTCCGCCATTCCAAGCGGGTCCACACGAACTCTGCAAAAATCGCGCCAATAGGGGGGAGGGGGGGGCGTGTGACGACGGCACAAGGGGTTAGGGTGCTTGTTATACGTGCGCGTAATTTCTTCTCGACGAGAGACCCTGTACTGGAAAAACAAAATAATTGATCAGCGAGGGGAGGACTAAGGCTGCATACGTCAACCGGTCGCCCCGGTGGTCTAGTGGGTACCCTCGCAGCCTATTAAGGGCCACGTCATGGGTTCGAGTCCCGGCAACGTGAGTTATATTTCTCACTAAATAAATCCTGGTCTAAGTTGGAAGCGACGCGCTGCAAAGCTCGTTGTTAGTAAACTAGATCGACTTCAAAAGTCGCGAGGGAAGGGATTGCTGTAACCTTCTCGCGATAAAAATATCTCAGGCAGGAACCACAGGAGGGGGTCCAACCCCCCCTCCTATGTGACCCCAGTTGGGTCGTCTAGCTAGTAGAAGTGGAAGATGGGGGCCAGAGGGGCAGACGACAGAGTCCAATGATGCGAGAAAACAAAAAAAAAAACCGTCTCCGTGGGACATGCATGCTCCATCCGTTGGTTCTCCGCATTTACTTTTCTTTCCCGTGGACACATATTCATGTGTCCCCGAAGCCCCGGACATCAAGACTGCAACACCCCAAGGGACACCACAACCCCCATCCCCTTGGTGTCAAGCAATTAGCACGTGTTTTGAGAGAGCCAGCACAAAAAGCGGTGCACTCTGCAATATGCCTGTTCCGTGTAGATTTTCTGGCCCCTTGGGGGTGAAGGGTAGGGGTGTTCCGAGCTTCCTTCCGGAGGGGTCTATTCTGTCAACAACCTTTACGCTCGATGTTGCCGCGCTGCTATATAGAATATCCCACTTCAAGATGCAGAGGCATGGGCGCGCGAGATGGAAGTTTGCGATCCTGCTGCTCGAGTAGCTACGCAGACAATCAAACCTGTGCCTTTCTTTGTGCAGCGTCACAAGTACGCAAGAACTCCTGCATGAGCGCACAGACAGGCGAATGCCTGCACTAACCTTCGGAGTCTCTTGCTACACAAGCACCGGGTGGCTCACTTGCGGGGTGGTTTTCGTGATCAAGGGTCGGCGTTCTTGAAAGTATTCCCTCACCTTTCCACTATTTTCACGCCAACTGTCCCGCTCTTGAGTGTCGGCCCGAGCTCATCGTCTCTCCTGTGGTCTACTTTCACGTACAGTCTGCCGGGCGCGATCTTGGCGCCCCCCTTGAGAGGCTACGGCGAGCGGGTGCAAACATGCGGACATATGGCGGCGACTAAGGTTCGGTGCGCCGGGAGGGAACACGCTCAACTCACCGGGTGTACCTGGAAGTTTTGCCAATACTGCTTTATTGGGGGACATGTTGTCCATGGAAATACTGAAAGTATGCACCAACTCGAGAGGACGCCCTTCAGAGAAGGTCACGGTTTTCAGTATCGTGCATGTTGGAAGACAAGACAACCTCCACAACTGGTTGCTGTTTGTTGTGATTTTCTTCACAGCACGAGAAAAACATGCAGATATGCTCCCTCTGAAAACGCGGAAGCCCGTCCGAGCGCGACAGCGGTAAATTCACGGCAATGAAAGGCAGCGGCGTCAAGCGAGCCCCACAAGCTACTGGTTCCGAAGCGGTTTCTTGCCAAGGCGCGACACAGGCAGGCGTCGATTGGATGGATAGAGGAGGTGCGGATGAAAACACTCACGATTTCCAGGTTGTTGACCTGCAACAACAGGAAAGGGTAGAGCGGGTCCTTAAACAAGCCCCAAACCCACAATCCTGCGCCTCGCGTGTCCTCCGCCTCAGACAGTGTCCAGCGCGCTTTGCCAGCTTGCTGCGTGAAGTACGGGTTGTCCTGCAAGAGGACCACCACCGGCGAGAGGGGCTAAGACAAAGCGGGTGCCAATCGCTCTACGGTAACACTACCCGTATTGTTGTAAGCACAGCAAGGCTGGAGAAACATCGCGCTAATCTCACTTCTAACTCTGAGCATGTACAGTACAAGCGTCGACATGTTTTGAAGTTGACCAAGTCTAATCCTCATGAATTGATGCGTGCGAAACTACCCTTTGTTAGCCTCCTTCCTTCCCACCCCAACATCCAAACTATTGCACAGGTGTACACAAAGGTGATCAAATCGGCCACGGCGCCTCCTAGAGATTGCAGCACCACAGGGTGCACCTTTGCATGTCCACCCCACTAGTTTCAAGAAATAAGACGACAAAGAGCCGGCAGGAAATTGGCAGCAGCAGCGCCACCACCATCACCACCAACACGTCGTAAATACCTTGGCGTCTGAGGAAACACCGCAATCACGCGGCAATAATCCTCAGCGGTCAAAACCTCTTTGGAGATTTTCTCACCTCTATGACTTCTAGCGAGCCTTGCGGGGGTTCAAAGTCTCTCTCCTCGTCAAATCGCACCCGTACGGCGACTTCGGTCGTGTCTCCTGCCTCTCCGCCAAGTGTTGGGTCCTGCAAGAACGTGGGGAAATACTCTTACGTAGGTGTAAAGCACTGCCGCCCAACGTTTTCTGGGGCACGTCGTGGTACTTGCGTAGGACTTGGCTAGGTAAGGTCCTTTCATGGGTCGGGCATGTTTACACAAGAGCAGAGACCGGGTTGTGGTGTCGGTGTGCACGTTGTTTAGCATGATGCGTACATACAGGGAAAAGAAACAAAAATATCGGAAAAAAAAATAGCATTGGCCAATATCAGGTACACCCGGTCCCAACACGGCCATTATCGGGTACCAGTATTTTACGCAGCTGGCAGCGTCCTCTTTGCGCCATCTGATTGGCCGACGCCCGCCCCTACCCGGTCCTGACCCTATTCCCGCCGGGTGCACCCGATCTTTGCTACTCATCCGTCGGAGGGGTACCCGATTTTACTCTGCCCTACCCGACAATGGCTGAGTTCTTCGACCAACAGCCCACAAGCAGACCACGCTCACGAACACACGTGAGCAACGCCTCGCACTCGAATTCCGACGCTTCTGACGGCGGGCGGAGGCGGACCCACCCCCGCCGGCGGAACTCTCTCGATTCTCGTTTCGAAGAGAGAAGGCCAGGAGGGTGGATGGATACCTGCAGCAGAGAGATCCACCTTTGAACGATACTTCCGCCGCCGGCGGCGGGTCCGCCTCCGCCCGCCGTCGGAAGCGTCGGGATTCGAGTGCGGGGCGGCCCTGACGTGTGTTCGTGAGCGTGGTCTGCTAGTGGGCTGTTGGAAGAAGAGCCCTAGCTATTTTCGGGTAGCGCAGAGTAAAATCGGGTACCCCTCCGACGGATGAGTAACAAAGATCGGGTGCACCCGGCGGGAATAGGGTCAGGACCGGGTAGGGGCGGGCGTCGGCCAATCAGATGGCGCAAAGAGGACGCTGCCAGCTGCGTAAAATACTGGTACCCGATAATGGCCGTGTTCGGACCGGGTGTACCCGATTTTGGCCACTGCTAAAAAATGAGAGGTGGGTTACTCTCATTGGACAAGGTCCTTCAACTCGCACTGTAGTTACCCCAAGGCCGAGACTATGAAGAGGAGTGAGCGCCAACCTTCGTGTGCTATGCGTACCAGCTCCTGCCTTCTGTAGACTACACACGGCCACCACGAATACCCCATCCCTGCGGTGTCCTGCTGTAGAACTACCGCACAAACCAAAACCGTCATGTATGGTGAAAATCAATCAATTTGGAAGAACGTAAAAAAGGAAAAAAGAAAGAGGAAAAAAAATTGGGAGTCCTTGGGCCCACAGCGGGTGCAGTCATACTCGGTTGTTAACAGACGGCCAAGTCGACGCTAAAGCGAAACAATAAATACATTAAATATCTCGAATGGGTTGTAGTCTTTCTGTGTTTGTATTTTTGTTTCCTAATAACTAAAAAGATAACTTAGAGAGCGAACTGGCTGTGTAGATACTTCATGACTTCATCAGAGAGTCAGTGCCAACGTGCCAACTCTCCTGACTACGTTACGATTTATCACCTGCCGTTGAGTATCCACAACACCACCACCACACCCCAATCCGTGGGCGTGTGCATACTCCTGCTGTACAAGTACGGCACGAATCAAACCGCAATTGACTGCTGTACCTCCAACGCAGCCAGTCGGAAATCGCATCTATCTACATGTATTCATCCGCCTTTTGCTCGTCTCAGCACACGCACACACACACCTGTTAGCCTTGGTAGTCGCGCCCAGTTTTCTTCTGTTGCCGCTGTTTCTGTCTTTAATCCGAAGGATAGTTTAGCCTCCCCCATGCTGCCCCCTCACGGGGTCCCAGTTCATGGCAGATAGAAGTGTTTTTTTGTTTTTTTTTCTTAGTATGACACAACGAATCCATCTCTATCATAGAAAAGAGTCTGAGACAGATTAGCAATGGATTCATAGCGTCAGAAAGTACCTGTGTTTTGTGTTTTCAACCGCACTAAGACTGACGTCTTTTCATTGGTCAGCCGGTTAGCGCGGTCGATGCTAATAATAAACACACACACCTGTTTATTATACTCTCGGTGTACTTCTCGTCTTCATCCACATTCACCCACAAGCACATTTCCTCCTGTCTCTCTGGAAGGGGATCGTATCTACAGAAGAGGGTTGGAAACTTGTTGCTTAAGTCGGACTGCTGTACAACAGGGGTAATTTTACACCAAATACAAAAAGACTACTGCTGCTGTTCGTTCTACTTCATTTTTAAATCGAGCACCTTCAAGCTCAGGAACATCCGCCACTGGGTAGAACCAGACAAGGTTGGTACCCCCTGTGTTCTCCGCTCGTCTTCCCACCACGGTTCTCGTTTCGCTGGGACAGCAGCCTCTTCCCCGTCCTCAGAGGTTGCTTGCCTGGTAAGTACGCCTGACGTTCTCCTACTCCTATGCATAGCAGCGCTCCGGCTAATGTGGTGGGGCCGATGGGCTTGAAGGACGTTGCCCTTCGCTGCTACTGCCGCTGTCCATGCACACGAACGTGAGCAAAGTAAGGAGGCCATGCAGGCCACGAGGCCCACTTTCCGTGAACTCATCGTAGCCACCGCAAACCCCACTACCGACAACAACGCTAGGCGTGTGTGCGACGACACACAGCACTAAGCAAGCTGTCAGCGGAGGATCTCTGATGTGGTGTGACTCACCCATGGCATGATACGATGACACATCATATGACATCACATGCATGTCATGTCACATGAAACTTCACTGACCAAGGACCAAGGGGTCCACGAACATTCACCGTCACCCCCCACGGACAAACATTGTGTGCTGCGCTGTTGCTGCCCTTACTCACCACCACCCCCCCCTGTATATGTGTAGCCAGGGATGATGCTCTTGGTGTTGGTGGTGCTAGCGGTGCTTGACTGCTGCCGTGGCTTCGTAGCAATCCCCCCGGCACTGCCATTACGTGTCACTCGGCCGGCCTGGTTGCCGTCAGCAGGTGAGCAATGGAGAATCCACTTCATTCATGTGGTGTCAAACATTCATTGCGCTGCGCTTGTTGTGCGTGCCTGCGGTACTGCTGTTGTAAAGACACCGTTGTGTTCTTGCTTTGTCGGAGCAGATACAGGGTGCCTGCACCTCCTACCTCCTACCTTGCGACAAAAAGTTCCACTCAGAGCACAACTGGTTGCCTGCCGCAACATGCATTGGTGGGTTCCCCCACGCCAGCGTGCCGGATCTTCGGCTACTAAATACACGCTGATCATCATGCCCAATGTCAACAACGTAACACACGTAAACATTATTGCGAGCATTGCCGTAGTTGGTATATATTCTCTCTCTTGTCCCCCACCCTACACATGGCAATTGGAATTTCCCTGTTTTTGACTGCTGTGCTTCGATGTTTGCTGGAAGAGTTGATAAGTTGCAACATGCATGCATGTGTAGCCTATCCTGTACATGTTCGGGCGCTTCAACACTCGGGAGCATACCGTCTAACTGGTAGAGTTGCACTACTACTGCTGTACCACGATCTAAGATTTGATGCCCCACAAACAAATCCACGAAACGCATTTCTGCTGTTGAGTATCTCCGTGTCCTTGCGCCGTAGAATTTGTTGGCTTGTTCGCTTCATCTATTGATATTTGAACTGCTGTGCAAGGACGCCTGCTTACGGTGGTATTGTAGTAGTATCAGAACAGCAAGGAACCAGTTCCACGGATAACCTCTGGTCAATCGGTGCCCCTTGCCCCATCCAATGGAAGCCCCTCAGCCCTATCCAATAACAATGAGAATCAGTCAAGGCCTTATATTTCCTGAGTAAAGAACGACGAGCCTGCTGCGCCACTGCTGCTGATGCCATGTTTTCCTACCATCGATTGCAGGCGTCACCTCTGGTTTGTCCATGTCCACGCCTACGATATATGGAGTTCCCAACAGCGGGTGGAAATCCCCACAGTGGAACTGGGGATCAGCCTCGGGGACCGGGCATGATTGCGCAGCGATCTGCCGAAGGACGTATGGAACGAAAGAAGCTCGGCAAGAGCTGGTCTCCAGCCTACTGTCGGGCGGAACTGCTGTTGATTTTGAGGAAGTCAAGCTGACAATGGCGCTAGCTTGGCAAAATGGGCGGTGGGACGGGAGCGACGGCGGCGACGGTGGGTACGGAGACGTGCTGACGATGATGGCGCAGGCAAAGCGGTACGAGGAAGGCTCGGAAGAGGAGCGTGCACGCAAGCTCGTCGAAGACATGCGGCCGAGGTTTGCTCTTTTGAGCCCAACCAAGGAGCAGATGGCTGCGATGGATGGGCTGATCGCAGATTCGAATGATGTACTCGCAGCACGCAATCGATGCTGTGGACTAGTTCTACAAGCAATGGGATTTGTTGAGAACGGTTGATGGCCTACTCAACTATGTCTGACAAAACGTAACTATTTTTAAATAGTACCCCAGTTGGCGAATAACCCCCGTCAAACTTACATTTCTGTACAAAGCTCGCCCCCGTTGAGACGTCGAGCGCGATAGGCGAATGACGTCGCGTGGAGTTGTGCATCAGGCTGTTTCAGGGCAAGGGAGGCTGCAGTCAGCACCCGTAGTGTGTGCGAGTGTATTGTTGGATGTATAGTTTAATGATTGGTGCATTTGAGACTGGCTACCAGTCAATTCTCTACTTCTCCTTCAGCAGCAATGAACTCATGGTTGACCTATTGCTGGATGGTGCGATTCTGGTTTCATGAGTATCCGCGTTCAACATGATCCGTCGCAGTTTCACATACAGTGTGCTTCACGCACCACACCCTCGCGCACATGTACCTAGATTGCCTCAAGAGAAACAAAACCGACCATGTTTCAAGGGACACATCGTGTGCCCTGTTTCTCATGAAATTCTACTATGTAGTGCCCTAGACGGTAGAACAGGCACAGCACAATCCTGATACCGCGATAGCCGCCCTGAAAAAGGCTTGTTGGTTGCAATAGATTGGTAACGTTGCCTATCGATATATATTGTTGGTCGAAACCGTTTAAATCACGTGGCCGGGCGGTTGGAAACACTTCCTTGTATAACCCTGTCCAGGCGCCTTGCCGCGCGGCTCTTATCCCTCGCTTTCCTCGCCCTCTCCCGGTCCAACCCCTCCCTCGTCGTTGGTGAGATCTACTAGGCCGAGCGTGCCGTCAAGCCCGTGAAGCTCCGGGATAGGGTTGGACAACCGCCCGGGAATCTTGGCTTGAACATCCTCGTCTCGCAGCTCTGGGATTTGCTCAGGAATGAGGTCGAGGTTCCCGTGCAGAAATAGGACCATCTCCACGTACTTGGCATCACCTGCGCTCCTCGATGACGCCATCATGCACCAAGCATCAGTGAAGTCGCGCTCGAGCACTGCCGCCGACGCTGGTGCCCCGAAGACCACACGGGCTGCCCTGGCCAGGAGTGGGTACAACCTACCCCACTTCTTCCACCACTCGAGCACACCCTCGCAGCTGAGGTCGTCCGTCAGTGTGCCGGCCTCCACACCCCTCAGCGTCTCGAGCTCGGCGCGAGCCATCGGCTCGAACGTTGGCTGTTGCGACGCTTCCCCCCCCCCCCTGCGTTTCTTGAAAAGTCCGAGGCTGGCGAACTTCGCTGTAGCCGCGTCGTCCTTCTTGTTTCTGGCCTTGGCGACTGCCGTTTGCAAGCTTCCGGGAGCGGCCGCCGGGCGCGCCCGCTTTGCGACTGACTCGTCTTGCTCCGGGCCGGCCTGCTTGCGCTCCATCTCCTTCTCCGCCAGCTCCACAGCCAAGGCGATGATCTTGTCGGTGATGCTCTTCTTGACAAACGCAGCGTGCACTTCCGTCGAGGTGAGCTTGTCCACGTACTGGAGGTCAGCCGTAGTCGGGTGTAGGCCCATCTGCATGTCGAACACGAAGTCCGTCGTCTTCTCTGAATCGGCGGACTTGTAGCACCTGTCGAAGTACCTCCGGTCAAGGGCGGACGCGAGGTGTTCGCGAGCATCGCGACCTACTTGAGTCAGGTGGTTGTGCAACCTTGGGACGCTGGTGGCCTTCCGCTCCCCGCCACCGGTGCCCTCCGGCCAACCTTGTGCCCGCACGGGCGTCAGGACGTCGAGTCGGGCGTCGACGTTGAAGGTGCTGAGCTTGAGTGTCGCTAGGCCAAGCACCGCAGCTTGTCCCGTGGGGACGTGGGTTTGCTGGCACGTGACGATGAGTTCCGCCACAGGCTTGATAAGGGAGTACAGCTCGTCGATCTCGTTCTCGTGCGGCGCCAGAGGGTTGACGCTCCCTTCCCTGGCGTACACCCCGTCGATGCCAACACGGTTGACGATGGTCGCCTCGAGGACGCCGCTCACACCAGACCACCGCTGCGGTGCCACGTTGACCAGCTTACGGTGCAAGCACTGCGAATAGTGCCTAACTTGTTCTTCCTGGAAGATAGCCTGTTTCAGGTTGGGTGGGGGGGTGGGGCTGCTGGAGGTAAGTCTACCAGAAATATAAGAATGCAGACGGGTGTACAACGCACACGAACAATAAAACCCATGGCAAATGCGTAGCCAAAAGGTATTGAAGAAAGGGGGCTCATAGGGGACGGTAAGCGCTCTTGTGTACGTTGTTGCCATATGATGCCAAGACACACAGCAGGCGCACAGACAGGCCATAAACGGTTACATTCACCTTTGCTCCTGGAGACTTGGACCTGCGAATGTGCTCCACGACTTTTTTCACCGCCAACACTACTTTGCGCGCGGCGGGATTCCCTGGCTTTCGCGAGTCCACGCGAGTACCGATGGCCTGCAATTTGACGGTGCAAACGCAAACCGTTGACGAGAGCAAGAAATATCAAGTGCAGGTCGTGCCGTAATCCGCTTCTTGAGATAGCAGGGGGAGCGGTTCGTCTAACGCGATGTTCTAACACGCCCAAGGCCCTGCTCTAGCAGGGAGGGGGGGGGGGGTGCGTCATGATGAAATCAGGTGCCGCGACGGGAAAAGTCCTCTTGGGGGGGGGGGAGATGTACTCATAGTCGCGCATGCCGTAGTCGTTTGACCATTGACCGCGCATCCCTACAGAGTCGGGACGGAGCACGCCGGGTTCTCACTGGGCCAGGCTCTCACATCACCAAGCGCGAAGCGCCGTGAGGTACTCGGCGAGTCGCATGGAGGATGCGCTGCATCCTGCTAAGGGTGTTTAGCATCTTGTGCTTGCTTCCTTGCAACGGATGACAGCTGCGAAAGACTTCAATATTTTTCTGGTGCTTCTACTTCCAGAGACGGTTATAAGGATTGCTGTGTACCGTAAACTACGGGGTTTTCCCCCCGGGAGAGGATCGTTTTTTTTTCTGAAACCAACCCCCCCGGAGGGAAATTGACGTACCGCGCGGGGTTAGTTTATTTTTTTTGCAACGCTACCCCGGGGGGTTGTGCAACATAATGATGGTCCACACACCACACACAGAGAGAGTGGCGAAACTGAGATGGAGAAGGCGTTCAGTTCAACAAGCAGATTAAGGAGGAACGTAAGAGCAACGAAGGCGAAGAAAAAAAATACAGCAGGGAGGACAGCAGCTGGGGGTGTTTGTCTCGTCCCGCGAGTAATTCCAAGAAGAGGAAGGGCCCGCCTTCCAGAGAGTACCCACCAGCTCCGTTCACACTGCTCCGCTATACAACAAAATCGACTCAAAAAAAAAGGGAAATACATCCCCCCCGGGGGGAACTTGTGGGAACTGGTACCCCGGGGAGAAATTGAAATACCCGGGGGGATCTTTTATTTTTTGGTAGAAAACGATCTATCCCGGGGCTAAATCAACGAAACCATGCTTCCAGGCCGAAGAGGTAATGGGGGGGGAAACTCCGTAGTTTACGGTAACTGCCTTGAAGGTGCTTGGCCATTTCAACACAACGTGGTGTGATCATCCTCTTTGCGGAGAGTGAGCGTTCTCAACCCCGCACAACATAACCTACTCGACCACCATCATCTTGGTCCTCTTGGGGGGGGCGAAAAAACTGCTCTGTTTACGCCGACAAGCTGCACTCACCAGTAAAAACAGCAAATGTGTAACATGTAGCGTGTAAGCATGCAGCGCGTAGCAAAAAATTGAACACTCGCTGGGTTTAGCTCCACCAGGAGGGGGAAGCTCTTCCTTTCTCAAGGTGAGTTTGCCCTGGGGCCAAATCAAAGGTATTCCAACATCTTGGGCCATTCTTTTGTGGTGGAGGGGGGTGGCGTACAACCAAAGAGAAAAAACGAACGAGGTAGTCTCCCCGTGACACGCAGCCATTTTGCCATGCATAGGATGTTGGCTGAACTGGAAAGCATGCAACTAACATCGCTCATGTGCATACACTCTGAGGAATCATGAGCTTTTCCTACACTATCCAGAGAGCTGTTGCCTACTCAAACCTGAAAACTCACTTCGACCAGAGAGCAGTTGAGCATATGGCACACACATGACTTCCATAGCCTCGGGATCAATGTGTGACATAGGCGGTGTTTCACATCGCTGCCGGCGTCGCTTGTTGCTGAGAAGAGCATGGACACGTCGAGGCCGAACTCCTCAAGCACATCGGTAAGGTACTTCTCAAGGACCGCAGAGAGGCGCTCGTTTTCGAACATCTCCAGTGTCGGGTTGAACTGTCGAACAGCTAGGAGGCGGGACTTCAGCCGCCACTCCCGGTCGATGTAGAACAACCGAACACCTGAATTCAAGAATTTCGGGAGGCGATGCGTGAAGGAAGCAACGGATGAATGATGTTGATCGGAGACGAACGAGGTTGAATTGTTGTTTGTTCCAAATTTACTACTTCGAGTACGCCGTATATTGCAACACTTTGAAACAGCAAGAGGGTGGGTGGGGGGCGTCGCCACCTAAGCTATCGTAGCGCACGCTATCCCACAACAGGTTATTGTCGCCCACTGCTGCTTACCCATGAACATCAAGGTCGAGGACTTGTCAACCCACAGGTCGAGGTCGAGGTGAAGACGCGGTACGCCTCCAACCTCGGCGGTTATCTCCGCCTGGAACTGAGCAGTGGTTGCGGCGTAGTACTCGACGACCATCTTCGCTACAGCTTCCTTGTGGAGGCGGCCCAGCGGGAAGCCCTTCGCAGCAATCTGGTTCAAGCTCTCCCGCACCCAGCGCTTCTCGCCGTACGACAGAGGACAGAAACCCTCAATCACGTGCCATTTGACCCAGTTCATAGCCACACAGTCTTCCAGAGCGTCTGCCTTCGCCTGTGTGGCTACAGTTTCGTAGAGGCCTCTGTGAACCGTCCTTCGTTTTAGGCATTGAATGGGATTCTGAAACATGCAGCAGAAATACTTTCGCACCAGTTGGTGTTGTTTTTGTGTTTTGGCCTAGACACAAACTGACACTATCAATGACGCTTGAGTAAAAGAAGCAACTAAATCTACACCGTCCGCATATATGTCTTGTCATTGCAACGTAGAACGAGTAACAAGGTTAGCGTCCAAGAGGGTCCTATAGTATCTAAAAATTATTGGGCTATGCTGACTTCAGTATAGGTTAAGCGGTAACCTAGGCGTCTGGGATAAATAAGGATGTTTGAGAGAAAGTACCATCTTGGTACATTATTAGAATGGGCGACTTTGTAGATGAGAATATTAGAGAGTGAGTTGGTAACAAGGATAGGTAACGTTATGGAATACCTACATATATGTTCCCAGTTATGGGATTGGATTGTGTGGCTTGGCATGCTGTAGTCTAGGGAGGCCCAAATAGTTGGTGGTATGTGCCTACACCCAGTTTCCCACTCCAGGTTGGAGAGATATATCCCTGAAGCGAGGGAGAACTAGTACACACTGTAACCACACCTGTTGTCTACCGAGAGGGGTTCGAGCCCCCGGGTTGCAAAAGCACCTCACTACTGCCTCATCCCGGAATGGATTGTGCTAAAGCTAAGATTACCCTGCAAACGCCGCTCAAACGACCCTTTAGGTTTACATCTCGACTGACCTTGCTGCTGATCTTGCTGGGCATGCCGCTCGGCGAAAGAGTGGTGGAAAGCCGTTGGCACCCAGGGAGTTGCCTGGGAATTCGTCTTAGAAACTTGACCCCTTCCTGCTTGTCCTTGATCAGCAGCAACAGCAGCAGCAGCAGCAGCTGTATATGCAGCCGAGAATTGGCCTGTTGCGGCTTGGGCATGTTGCGCTAGCACTTGGGCATGTTGCCCTCGCGCTAGCGCTCTCGCTTCCGGTTTCATACGCTGTTGGTGCAAGGCCAGCTGCTGTTGGACGTTGGGCTGCTGATTCCCTTGCTGTGGAACAGCACCCGCAGCGCGTTGGTTTTGCGCTGGCTGCAACTGCTGCTTCGGCTCCTGCTGCTGCTGTTGTACTGCCTGAAGAGCGACCTGCTGTGGTTGCGCCTGCTGCGATATGTTCGCGCCCCCCACCCGCTGCCCAACTCTTGCCTGACCAAGGTCATGGAAATCGAGACAACGCGAGCATGGAATGAACCAGCAGCACACCGACCACAGTACGAGCATCAAACCAAACGTTAGGCAGTAATTGGCACGTCACGAACTACCACACGCCGCGGCAGGAGCCAACACATTCGCAGAAAAACGTCGCTGAGAAGGAGCACGCCACTCTCGCTCTAGTCCACGACCCAGTGAAGCGTCCTCGCCCGCACGCATACGGGAAAGAGGTGGTGGCACAACGCCGCGCTCTACAACCGGGGCACGCGACCGCCGATCGACTCGCGACGCTGAAAGATGTTTCGTCGGACAGGCGCACCTCCACCTTTAATTTTCCCGAGTTCGGCGTGGAAGGCGAAGAATCAAGAGAGCAACAAACAGGACTCCTGTCGATTGCTGCTGTAAAACGGCGAGTAACACACCGGCTCCGCACGCTGCTGGAGGTAATTCAGACATTTTCCACCCCGCGGCCGTGCAGCGAGGGAAGGAGGGGTGGAGCCTCCTCCGCTTGGATTCGCCGTTGCTGTAGGCGGCGGAGAGACACCAGCGACGCTGCCTCGACTGGCCGCTGCTGGCGATGCTTGCCCCTGCGGTACAGCCGTCGCAGCGGCCGGCGCCGTCCCGTCACCGCCCGCTAATGCGATCACCTGATAGGGATGTTCGTCACCAACCAGAAGGACGGTGGATGGGGGACGCACTCGTTATCACGTACCTCCTTAACAAAATGACCATTAATTCACGGTAAACAAAGCCAGGGTGAACAACTATGCTCGTTTGTGACTCTGCGTGACCAACAGCCCCCGCCCTTCTCTGCCACCCCCCACGCTTCTTCCTCCGGGTATATCCCCTCCCAGCAATGCCAAAACCATCGACGAGCATGCCAAATCTACAGGTAAACCGCTGTACTGCTGCTGACGTGAATGCCTGCCCAGGTCGCGCTTCCCACGCGAATTACTCGGTTGCTTCCCCTGCAAGTGCGGGCAACTATTGACAAACAGAGACGTAGTGATCAGGCTATATCTAGGCTGCGTGGAGAACAGCAGTGTGTCAACGCTGGGCGAGGAACCGTTGGCAAAGAACCCCTCCCAGCCTTCCCCATGTCAAGAGTATCAAAATTGAACACTTTTCTTCACACGGGTGACCCCCGCACTGCTGTACCCCACTTGGAACAAAATAAACTTCGGGATCATGCCGGTGGCCAACAAATGCCCGTGTGCTAACTTGCGCTTGCTCTCTTTGTCTTTTCTTTGTATTGAACAGACGTGCTCTAACGCATGCACGAGCACACGCTCGTTTTGTCATACCGGATCGGGCTTGTCAGCCGCTGCGGTCCCGGGCACCGCTCCCTTCTGCTTTTGCAGAGATGCCAGTGACTGGCCCTTGGCAAGCGCCATGGTAGATCTTGTCAATAGGTTGGCCTACCCACTAGGCTCTGCAGGACGACGGGCTTATGATAAGACTATGCGTATCCTCCCGGCGCGCCTCCGACCGTTAAGAACAGCGTGACCACACACTCACGAAGAACCCAAACAGCCGAACCCTTGCGGGCGCGATGGAAGTGCGACGTGCAACGAGGGTGGGAGAAGGAGCGAGTTAGAGGGTTAGTGGTCGGGGAGAGACAGAGGGGGGAGAGAGAGAGAGAGAGAGAGAGAGAGAGAGAGAGAGAGAGAGAGAGAGAGAGAGACAGGCAGACAGACAGACACACACACACACAGAGAGAGAGCACGGACGGCGGGTTAAATGTACAAGGACGCCGGCTTCGAACCAATTTTTTTGTGCAGTGGCACCCGTCTACCCGGCGGGCGCATCCTTCCAGGAATCATCAACATCCAGATACGGGTAGCACCCCTTTCCTAGCAGGTCTTCCTGCTTCCATACGTTTCCGGGTTGCCTCCTGAGGATTCAAAACAAAAACCAAGCCTCCAAAAGCGCATAGTCGTAGGTGCCGTCTTCGGCCGGTGCAGCTAAATGTGTGTCATCGATGTACGCCACATCAAGGAGATATTTTGTATCCCTGTCACGATAACATAAAAAGAGGAATAAGGTACTGCTGTCACTTGTTGTATAAGTAGTACAGCAGTAGTAGTACTCCTATTCTTGCTGGCATGGTAGACTACAGTAGTAGTGGGTGTAGCAACCGAGTTTTGGCGTGGCAGCTCTATTACTACCAAGTAGAATTTCGACACCATCACACGTGGTCGAATTCCGGCGTGTCCTAACGCTAACCCTACCCTAAACCACAATATAAGGTAGGTAGCGTACATTGAGAAGATACCACAGAATAAGGTGCACTAGCGTCGTTGAGCAAACGTACCCCTATGGGGGGCAGTTGGCTTGTGACCACGGAAGGCGTCCGCGTAAGTTGGACCAGTACGGACATTAGAAGGTACTGAGTGGAGACCGGAACTGTTTTTCAATGTGAAGACAACAACAACAACAACTGGTACAATAATGTGGAGACCACCCTTCATTAAGGTACAATTTCCCCAACGTCTGTCGAGGACGATTCCCTCTTTTCACAATCCCATTTGTTAGATCAAAACATGTTTCCCATTATATTACCCGTCAGCCTAACATTTACCCGTTAGCCTAATGCCCGTTAGCCTATTGATTCTTGGAATGAATAAATCCCTTCACAGCGGCTAAAAATGCCGAGGGAACGTTGTTGCGGTAATACATACATTCCTGGCACTACATTTTGTGCCGGTCGCCCCGGTGGTCTATCTAGTGGGTACCCTCGCAGCCTACTAAGGGCCACGTCATGGGTTCGAGTCCCGGCAAAGTGAGTCCTTTTTCTCACTAAATAAATCCTGGTCTAAGTTAGAAGCGACGCGCTGCAAAGCTCGTTGTTAGTAAACTAGATCGACTTCATAAGTCGCGAGGGAAGGGATTGCTGTACCCTTCTCGCGGTAAAAATATCTCAGGCAGGGACCGCAGGAGGGGGTCCAACCCCCCCCTTCTATGTGACCCCGGTTGGGTCGTCTAGCTAGTATTATAGAAGTGGAAGATGGGGGCCAGAGGGGCAGACGACAGAGTCCAATGATGGGAGAAATAAATATATATTGATATATATATATCATTGTTGTTGTTGTTGTTGTTGTTGTTGTTGTTGTTGTCTTCACATTAAAAACCGTTCCGATCTCTCTCTACCCAGTACCTTCATATGTCCGTACTGTTCCAACATGACGCGGTCGATTCCCGTGGTCACAGGCTAACTTACCCTAAAAGGGTACACTCAAATAAACTGGCCCCGTATTAACCGCTGAAATTGGAGACCTTGCTGTAACGTCACCAACGATGTACGAAGTGCCGTAGTCTTAGAAAGTCTCGTGGTCTGGTCGGTAACGTCTCACGTCTCAACTTATTCATTCCCAACTCAACTAACTGCAGTCTCGTATCTCGTACCTCTTTGTCCTCTCCTCCTCGGTTTGCCCTGGCTCTTTCGCGTTGGAATCCCCCCACCCCCAGTCCTGATGACCAAATGCCACAGCAATAATTGATGCAGCCCGGCTAGCCCCGCTCGAATCTGGAGGTACGGTCGGCTGTCCGCATTGTCGAGTCGGTTGTCGGTTGTGTCTGTTGCTGTTGGTTTGCAAATGTTCATCAAATGTTGCGGTTCAACCAGAACGCGGTGTATCTAAGGGGGTGTCGCCAATTCATTTTTCCACTGAGCACCATACGCCCCGCCCCAGGGCGCTCTTCTATTACACACAGCAGTCACATGAGATCACATGCCAGATGCAGATCTGATGTAGCAGAGGACAGGAGAGACGACACACACAAGAGCGTGCACCATTGACTTCTCTCCGCTAGCTGGCGACGGTTGGTCTATATAGGGTTCGCGAAGTGCGGTTCTGACGGGATAGGCGCGGTTGTATAGCAGTAGTACATTAGCTGCGGGCACAACAGGAACTCGACCTTGCTGTGGAGGAACAACGGGAACTCGGCCTACCGCTGCTGTGGAGGAACAACCGGCTACCCCGCTGATTTTCTAGGTGTGCCGAACATGGCGGGCATCCCACCACCCCCTCCGCTGCCTCAAGGGACTGTCGTCCCACAGGCTAGAGTCATCCCCCCTCCCATGCCAGCGAACAGGTCGTCGGGAACGCTGGGAGGCGGGCTCGGGCAGCAATCGGCCGCTCTCGCTGGCATGCCGGCGGCCCCTCCCATGCCGCCTGGGATGGGGTATGCAAACAATGGTTATCCTTCAGCACCAGCAGGAGGACCGGCCGGGGGAGGAGGGCCCCCGCCGCCGCCACCGCCGCCTCCGCTGCCTCCGGGCACAGTCATCCCGCAAAACCGGCCGCTCCCCCCCGCCATGCCGACCGCGGGCGTGATGCCGCTCGGAGGGTTACCGCTGCCGGGGGCCTTGCCGGCGGCGAGCGCGCTCGCGGCTCCGGTGGTTCCGAGGAAGGTGTTGGAAAGGCCAGCCAACGGGTGAGAGGGCGTGCGTGCAGGGCGTGAATCTGTGAGAGATTGGCGCTGAACAGAAAAGAGGGTTGAGATGATGCTGGGTGCCGGTCGTGAGAGGCAGAAGTACAAGGAATTGCGACGAGGACTGCCTACAGCAGTACCACGCCGTGTACTGTTGTGCACCCCGTGTAAGCGTGCTGCCTTTGTGGTCGTTCATGTTGCCCAAGAATCATTTATGCACTTCGAAGTTGCCGTAGAGTGTAATATCCTCCAGACTGCGACCAAGGTGGGGTTGGAAAGATCCCACCGAAGCTGTCCAAAAACGGCACAACCATCGAACAACCGCTGTTTTGTTGCAACGACAGCGTCGAATATCGGGGTACGGTACATACCTGCCCGTTGCCATCCGCGAAACATCCACTTGTAAGCCTTACCAGTTACCAGTTCAAGAGTTAAGGACCGTCACTTGAGTGGAATTGACGAGTTGACAGAAATTCAAGTGTACGGCAGGGTGGTGCACCCACGCGTTCTGTTTTGGCAGTGAAAATGACTCAAACGACAGAAGATACGTATGGTGCACGACAACATGAACAGCGAGCAGTACCCGCGTGTGGGGTGTTATTGCAGCCCTACTTGTGCTGCTGAAGAGTGACAACGATATTGAAACGAGGGCCAACGTAGATTGAACAATCCGCATTATACCTCCACTAGGAGTCAAACATTCGGCAAAAGTCACGTGGAGAGACTTGATGGACTATTTTTTAGAGCTGCCGCACTACGGTGGCAAATGGAGGACAGATGGACACACGCGATCGGGTGTGCCCGGCTGGCACCCTTCCTCACACTCGTGCGTCTGCCTCTTGACCAGGCGAACGCCCATCACCGCAAGAGCTCGTTGATTTCGTTAATTCATGGGATAGCACCGGTCCTCCTGCCCGCTACATTTTGCGACGAATAACGAAACGTTCCTTCCGCACCACTGTTTTTTTGTTGTTTCTTTTTTGCGCTTGTTCAAAGGCAAAACGTGGCGTTTCCTAACAAAGTCTCGTACTTCGAGGGTGCCGAAGACCTGCCGGGAGACAAAGAGAAGGGCATGCTTAGGCTCAAGGACGGACAGATGGTGGTCGTCTACAAGACCGATGACCCTCATTGGTGGCTAGGGAAGGTAGGTACCCGTGAGCAAGCGCTGCCGGGCATGCATCATAGTCGAAGTAAGTGTGTATGTCTTCCTGTTTTGAATGCGCCCCGATGTACTTCGTTCGTTCACCTCATATCATTTCCCCACCGACCCATACCCTATTTCCACCGGCGTGTCGGCATGAGGTAGGGCGCACGTATCTTTCAACTTTGGAGCAAGGCGTGTACAAAAGCAAGAGGCAGCCTCCCGTATGTGTGCGCCGCACGAATAGAGAACGCCATGCTCCAAGTGCGAGTTACGCCTTCACGCGTAGCGAATTCCTGAAGCCATGTTTCTGACTCGCAGCCCTTCCCAAAGCTGATAAGAGTACAAGAGTGTCCTGGAGAGACCCCCCCCCCCACTCCTCAGGCTTGTGTCTGCTGGTGTGCTCGGGGTTGTCGAATTCTCGCAATAGCAAGATCCCTTACCACAGAAGCAGCTCGGCAGGTGTACGACATCTATCTTGCCGCGCGCGGCTCCTTGAAGCCTTTGGTTTCATCTTCCCGGGTGTAATCGCCGCGTCGGTCAGGCTTTTGTTTTGTGTATCGTTTCCCGAATGCCTCAGGTATTTTTTTTTCCCGCCTTTTTCTTGTGTCCGAAAAAGACCCACCCGACCTCTGCTGCTCCGTGCGAAACCCAATTTTGTTTACGCTCCCTCCCTCTCTCCCTCTCTTCCTCTCTCTGTCTCTCTCTCTTTTTTTCTCTCTCTCTGTCTCTCTCTCTCTCTCTCTCTCTGCCCCTGTCTCTGTCTCTCTCTATCTCTTCCACTCCCGGACTCTTCCCCGGGGACTGCCGTGGCACGCAGGTTGGCGATGATGTTGGGTGGGTTCCGTCCCACTTGCTGCAGGAGGTCGACCCCAAAGCGCCCGGCAGGCAGCAACACGTGCCGCCTCGGGACATTAACCCCAGGACATGGGGGTCCAAGAAGAAGGTGCGACGGCTGGGACCGCTGTTGCGCTGCCGAGGCTTCTACCTATTCATTTTGACACTTTTGCTGCTGATGGTGACAATGCTAACTATGGTTAGCTTCTTGGTGATGGTTTCGGTGCGTTCTTGTTTTGCTGTCTTTCGAAACCGGCAAGAGGAACAACCGGAAAGAGGAACAACATGTTTTCCCCCCCCCTGCGCCGGCCAAGTTAGCGCCACGGGGCGCCATGGGTTCTCGCGCTTGTTTCTCAAAGACTTTTTTCCCACCAACCCTCGTTCCTGCTACATGACAACGCGATTGCTCGCGTTGTTCTGCCTCGGACACACATCACCTTGGCGGCGGAACTCGCAGGACAACAGCATGTCGGCGGGAGAGCTGGACATGGAGAAGACGGACTTCAGCATGACCAACGCCACCACGTTCGAGCACCACAACGCCAAGATCACCGCCTTCTTCATCCAGGCGAGTCTGTCTAGCCTAGCGAGGGAATGCCATGCCGTGCCCCATGCCCCCAAGAAGGACAGCGGAGGCCCAGAGCACACGCTGCGAGCACCTGGCGTTTCCTGCGAGTGCTGCTTGGTTGCGCTATAGTCGTCGTTTCGATGTTGTCGTTCGCGCTGTTGAGAGGTCCGGTATTGTTTTGTGGGCGTTTGTTTGGCATCTGATGGTTCTCCGGAAGGAAGCCGGCGGAACGCACCGATATTCTCGTATGTACGGTGGGAAAACGGGTTGGTACAACGTCTCTGCGCACGTACTGGTGCTCTGGTACGCGCGAAAAGATCGTTCCTTCGACGCCTGTCCGGTGTACGGCAGAAGTCGTGGCTTTCGTGGGCAAGTGCGCTCTAATAATATCTAATAATAACGTGTTTCGTCTCTGTGTGCGTCTCTTTGTTGCTCTGCACGTTACTTTTTCCCTCCAGGTTTCTGGGGTGAAGAAGAGCGTGAAAGAGCAGGGGGACATCTGGGTGGTGGCCAAGACGCTCAAGGCCTTCAACCGTCTGCGCGTGGCGTGGGAAGAGGACTACGGGACGAGCTCTATTCCAGTCGAGCCTCCCCCGGCGCGCTGGGTGGACTGCAGCGAGTCGGATTGGGTGAGAGATGGCGCAGGGGGGTTTTGGGGGAGTGGGTGGTGGTCGGGGGCAGGGGTGGCGTGGGGGGGACGTAGCCGGTTGCTTGTCTCTTTTGGTTGAGTCATCTTGTGTTGTAATTGTTGCCCTCTTAAGTGACAGTTGTTGCCTCTATTGCGGGTATCTCCGTTTTGAGATTTCTTTTTTTTTCTTGCATCAAAAAACCTCCGGGCTAAGAAATTGCCCCTTTCGTGGAGCGGTGCACGTAGACATGTGTAAACATTCCCCGCTCACGCACCTCTTCCCCCCTTTTTCCGCGTGGAGGTGGCGCTGAATGTCTGCGTGGCCCCCAATACCACAGTGCTTGATAGCTTGCTCTGTTGAAGGCACGGACGATGCGATCAAAGCCAGGTATACGGCCGTGGCGCAGCGGCACCATACGCAGCTCGCGGCGCGTCCGGATTGGCGTTTCATTTGTTCCCTCTTGACCCCTCCCCGCCCTTCGTGGCCTACGCTGGCCCCTCTTCCTGCAGAAAGACCTCAAGGGCGCCGCTCTTCGGAGCTTTCTGGAGGAGGTGAAGCAGTGGCCGAACCTCAAGCACTCCCAAGATCTGAAGCACTTTCTGACCACAGACAGGTACGCGTGGGGGGGGTATACGGAGAGCTGCGCTTAAATTTCGGTTTCCTTACGTACACATGCGGTAGGGGGCACTCACTCCCAAAGCGTGTTTTCTTGTCGCCTTTGTCAACACCTGCAAGATTATCCCTTGACCGGCCTCTGAGGCCTTCAAGTTTTGGGGTTTAGATACGGCCGGAGGCAAAGGATGTATTGGTACGTGTATGTCCTTCCCAACTATTGTCCAGGCGCCGTGATCATGCGTGGGGGTATCGATCGCAAGGAGTGTTGTGGGTCCTGTCGCCGGCAGCTCGGCAGCCCGAAGTAGCACTCTTTGCGGCAGGGCAAGAGGTTGCACCGACGCAGACCCGCTTTGGGGAGGCAGGCGCGCGGCAGCACCAGCTCCGCTCCGAGTACTTGTATAATAGTGCTTCGTAGAGCAAGAACGAGCGTTGGAAAAATAGGGTATAATAGACTCCTGGGTTACTTTTTTTTGCGCGGCGACTTTTGGCTAAGCGTGTGGTAGTCTCGGAGTCTGAAACGTGCTTGGTGTTTTTTTTCTTATCGCGGCTTTTGTGTGGTGTGATGTGCATGCAGGGTTAACCTGTCGGGCGGTATCATCAGCAAGAAGACCATGAAGCCGTACCTGGACGCGTGGATCAAGGTACGTGCAGACCTCGTCCCCCCGGTCGCCGCTTGCCGTTCGGCAGTCGCGCCGTGCGTACGTCGGCGTGAGCAAGTTAAATGCACCTGTCTAGCAAGCGCTGCTAGCACCTGTTTTGGAGCAGATTACCAGGATCGAGGCGTGCCTCGTTGTTTTTTCGCAACGTGAATGGCCGGCGGGAACGCGGGGGATGAAATCGAACGGATGTTCTCTTGTGGTTTTGTTTAAGCTCGTACACAACTCCTGGTATCGCCGATCGCGTTTTATTTTACGTTTTTTTGCGTTTTTATTGGCGGGTTCAAGTGGACAGGCCGGCTCGGCCCCTCCCGACTTCCCGGAAGGTGTCCGCGTGTCGACGTTGGTGACGTCATGTACCGGCGACCGATGCGACTCTGATGCACGTTCGGTAGCGATGCTGTGTGCGCCAAGCTGTGGCGGCACCGTCCGTTGATTTCTTTTGCGCATGTCGATGAATATATTGGTGCTTTGTTGTTTCTGTTTTTTGGCTTTTGATAGACGAGCTCGGAGCCGACCTGGACCCTGAAGCTTCCCCCGATCCCGGGCAAGGAGGGCACCGGCGGCGACGGCGGAAAACCGTCGGCCAAGGACAAGAAGGAGGTGTGTGTTAGTAGGCGCTGAATGTGCAGTTAGTAATTGGTGTGTACCTGCAGGATTGACCTCGAGATTCTCGGCGATTCTTTGTTTCGTTGTTTCTTGTTTTCTGTCGCAGAAGTGTAGAAGTATGCTTTCAGTGGATTGCTCTGTAGAGCGTCTTACACAGAATGCCCTTTTTTCGCTGCTGAACAAACCCGGGGTAGTGCTGTGATACTGGAGGAACGTTATTATAGTACAGGGGAAACAACCTACTTGTCGAAGTAGACGGCGAAGGGAGTGGCTATTGGACCCTACCCTCACCTTATCACCGCCTCACCCCCCGCTCAAGATGGTGTCATGGAAGTCATGGAACGTTCAAGTTGGATGAGATTCACCCCCCCTCCTCGGTGTTGGCCGGTCGATTTGTCTGCCCGTCTCAGGCGACGATACCCGGCCTGCGAGCCGGAGACGAGTCGTTTGGGCAGCTCACCAGCCGGCGGCCCAAGCTCCGACGAAGCCGGGTGTTCGGGAAGGTCTCGGCGCTGGCGGCGGTGACCAGGCAGGAGGCCATGCTGGAAACCTCCAGGTGCGTTCTTGCAACCGTATTGTAACCGTCCTGCGGTCTTAACCAATAAAGTAGGATGTACGGTACGCGTTCGTACATATGCAGCATGACTGGGTGTAGTGCAGTAGTCTGGTACGCAGAACGGAAAAAGAGGAGGCACGGAGAATGAATGAGGGAGACATGAGATTCGGATGAACAGGGATCATGGTTCGAGTCGGCTCGAGCGCAAGGCGCAGGCTTCGTGGCGTCGTCCCAAAACGTAGAGATCGGGGGGGGGCATGAAGTATGACAAAAAAAATAGCGAGAAAGTCGCTCTCTACCTCCCCCCTCGAAACCTGTCGCAACGAAAAAAACGAAAGTTGTCCCTCCCGTTGTTTTGTTGCCTGCCGCGCGTGCTTGTGCGAACGGGCGGGGGTGGCGCACGCGTCTCCTGAAACGCCAGGCGCAGCTGGACCCACGCGGGGCTGAAGCTGCAGCTGCTCGACCAGGGCGGCGACGTTTGCTCCTTGAAGCGGAGGAGCGAGCGCAACATCTACCATAAGTATTACGCGGAGGAAGGGCCTGACGGAGGCGAAGACGACGCGTTCGGTGCGTTTTGTTGGCGTTTTTTTTTTTTTTTCGAGGCCGGTTTCGTGATTTGATTTGCAAACACGCAGCAGCAACCCGCCCAACTGTTCGAAGACCTCTACATTTATTAGCAGAGAGTGTCGATGGTCGTGTGCAGTGTGCTGCACCAGCCATGCTCCCAGTTATCACCGGGAGGATGCTACATCGTTAGTCACCGCCGTGGCTTTGTCGCTACGCTCTTTAAAAAAAAAAACAACGAAACGTGTTTGTCAGCAGTCGTGAATCCGTCCTCCGTCGATGCACATGAGAATACAGATGCATATCGATCTCTCAAGAGTGGAGTTTGCAACAACACGCCGCCGCGGCCGCCCGCCCGATCGCTCTTTTTTTATTTTTGCTCTACAGGAAAGACGGCCGGTTCGAGGGTGCTCATGAGAAGAGGAGGCTATAACCAAATGAAGGCCCACATGAGGTACGACCAGGGGTCAGGGGTACTATAATAGCATAGGTCAAGGGGGTCACGTCGGTATCAAGGGGGAGAGAGGGGAAGCGCACGCGGGGGGGTCATTGATGTATTTGGCTGCAGGTTCGGGCGGGGGGGGCACCAATTGGGTATGGCATGGAGAAAAGGTCAAAACTGATTTATCGAGAGGAAGCACCAATAGTGTCGCTCTTTAGCGTGTCTGGTCCAAGGCTTCCGGGTGTCGAAGGTTGCTCGCGTTTGTGTCAAGCTCTGCGTAGGTGCGGGTGTGAGTATTATGTACGATGTGCCATGTATGTTCTTTGATGTATGATGTATGATGTATGATGTATGATGTGCCGCGCTGACGCCAACACCCGCACCTTTTCGGTGAAAGACGGCGTGGCCTGGCCATCGCGACACGCGTCCTCCGGCCAATTCGTTTTGTACGTCGTAAACAGCTATTGAACAGCAGCTTGGTTTCGTTCTTGTAGTCTGCTTTACTGTAGTCTTTTGTGCGCTGCGTCTGGTGTAATTTTGTTGTTGCCGAAGGTACAACCTGGAGAGGGTTGTGTACGGGCGGATGGAAAACTTGGGCAGGGAGAGCGAGACCAAGTACGCCATGTACGCCAAACAAAAGGAGCAGGAGAAGGTACAGCAGCACGCGGCACACACGTCACATTCATAGGGCACGTCAGCGAGACAAGTAGGATACCGGTACTGCTGTAGGTACAAGGGGGTGGAAAGTGCTACAGACCACTTTCACCCCACACTCACGTACGTACCTGTCCACCGCGTACGAGAACGTGCGGGAGAAGGTTTAGGTTTTCATGTCACGACACATGTGCTTGGAATGCACCAAGGAATGTTGTCTTGTGTGACCCTGCGTGGCACGCCGAAAGCATGCCGGACGATGTAGGCGTTGCGGTCGAGAAAAAGGCAACCTCAATCTTTCTTGGGGGGTTTCGTTTTCGCGAAATATAGAACTTTCGGTGATTCAGCAGTATGTGCTGGCGCGCTATTGTACAGGCCTTGGAAGATACTATGACATGGCCAACGCGAAAATTGGACGTTTCAAAGAAGCCACTTTATGCTTGTGTCCGTGCTAAATCGCAACGACAAGCTTGTTCTCTCTCTATCTCTCGCTCTCACGCGCATAACTACAACGTGCGCGTGGCTTGTGTTCTGTAAGCACATTGGTCTGCGAAAACCTAAGTATGACACGTACTCTCGGCATCACTCGGCATCATATGGTTTGTCTTTTTATTTGTTTTCTTGGAAAACAGTTGCAGAAGGACAACGGAGTGACCGGAGGTCTGAAGCGAGGCATCACCGGCGGCGGAGACGGTGGAAGGGCCGGGGGGCAGAAGAAGAGCTCCTTGTTCCAGCTGGAGGTCCTCACGGAGAAACTCGAAAAAGTGTAAGAGCAAGAATCGAACGACACGGAGTCTGAGAGTACCGAAATTGTACGTACTGCTGTGTTGTTGTCATGCTTGTCGCGGGAGAGAAACGGAGACATAGATAGATTGAGTTTATGGGGAGGGAGGGGCTCGAGAAGACGCCTGTTGTCGTTGCACATGTTTGTTCTTCGTCTGTATGTATCTTTGAAGGATTGCTAGTGAACGAAAGTACTGTTGCGGTTTATTTTGCTTGAAGTTCAAAGACTCTTTGAGCGTGGAAGTCTTGAATATTTTTTTGTTGTTGGGCGAGGTGTAGCAACACATGTGTCGCGGTTTCGGAACCAAAAAAAAAAGCCACGGCGTTGGCGTTGTTTGCGCATGTAAAGTCTTTTCGTGTCGAGTCCTCTCTTTTTCCCCTCGTGTCTGCCTTTCTCGCTGCTTCTCTTCGCAGCACGAAAATAACCGACATCCAGTCCAGCAAGCAGGAATCTACTCTGGGCCGGTGCCAGTACATGTCGAGGATACACGGAAGGTGACCGAACGAAACGGATGGAACAAGGAAAAAATACATAACGAAGTTTTTGACGCCTGGAATTTCCTGCATGGTCAAACCACGATGGATGAATGAGTGTATGGCAGGCTTGTAGTCGGGAGATTCCAAGGGCTGTGCGTGCTCAAGCGCCGAATGACGTGATTGTAGGGGCACTTCTTCCTTCTCCTTCTCTTGCCCCGGTGCTATGCTCGCGTGTTAGCCCCCCCCCCCCCCACCCCCCCCCCCCCC